TAAGACACAACGATGCAGAAAGGAAAACGATGATCTTTATGGCGATGGTGAGCTTCTGTGTGGAACCAAACTCTTCAGCATCTTTATAATAATGTTGACTTATATAACTGATTTGTTTATAACCACAACTCTCCACCTTTCACCTCTTCAGCTTCTCCATCATGACAGGATGTATCTGGTAAATAAAAGCTAAAACCTGCAGCCACTGTCATCAAGAACCATCTTCAGTGTAAAGAGAAACATGAAGTCTGTGATATGATTGCAAAACAGACGTAATTTTTTTTATTATTATTTACCATCCGGAAGTGAGTTTGAGATTCAGAGACCTAAATGACATGAAAGATCTTTGTTTAGGTCTCTAAAATTTCAACCAAAATCTTAGAGACCTAAGATCTCTAGTTGTTAGGTCTAGATAATAATATGTTATAGTTTTAGCATGTAATTTTATTATGTTTGCTTTTATTGACAATTAGAAATTATGATTGAGAACATTATGACTTTACAGTATTTGCTCATATTGAACACAATACTATAAAATTTCCATTTGCATTGATTGGAAAATCAATCCAAATGATTTTGCATAATAAATCTGATCTTTCCTGGAAAGTGTGTTAACACATTTCCCAGGAAAGATCAGATTTATAATATTTTTTAGCCACTAGGGGCCTTGAGTTGTAACTCCCACTAAAGTACTGCTTAGCAGCTTTAGCATTATGTCAGAAGGCAGTCCTTGTCGTCTGAGCTCCTCTTTGATCTGGAGAGGAAAAAACATAAAATCAGTTTTAAATTATATAAACATTAAATCACACAGAACAAAACTAAACCACAGTTCTCCTTGCATGCAAGTGACACATTTTCAGCCTTTCAGGGTTTCCATATCGCCACAATCTCACTCTTTCAGTCACTACCCAAAGCTTGTGATCATAGATGAAGGAGGGAATGATTGATTGATGAACAATTCAAGAGCTTCACCTTTCAGCTGTTTTTCACCACGATAAATGTGTAAAGTTTCCCTCAAATCAGAAACAAAACTCTCACTAAACCTGCTAGACTGGAACAAACCACATTGTTGTCTTTAACACTGACGTCAACAAGGTTACTGACCAGGTTCATGATGGTTGCAGAGTCAGACTCCATTGACAGTGAAGTGGAGATCTCTGCATTCAGAGCCAAAAGATAATCTGGAAGCACAGAGAGTCATTATTACTATTTAAAACAGAACAATAACTGAAAAAACAATGTTTATGTATAATGTTATCCTCTGTATACTTTAGACATAGTCTACACACAAAATGAAGGAACCCATAAGGTTAGAACCTTGGTAAGTCTATATTCGTATGGTGATGTTCTCTAACATGAACTTCTGCCACACTTACATGGTCCTGGGTCTGGTGTTGCATTTGGGGTGGAGGATGTAGGAGGTGTAGTTGTTGTGGTGGGTTGGTTGGTTGTAGTTCTCAGTGTAGTTGGTGGAGGTGTAGTCGTATTGGAGCGGGAAACAGTTGCTGAACATACGGACAAAGCAGCAGATTGGCATCAACATTATCAGTTCAGGAAAAACTGACCGACTTCAAACTCAAAACCAAAGCAGAGATTTCCACTCACTGTTCCCAGTCGTCACAAAGACGCATCGAAGGTCAGACTGGTACACAGAGCGGGAGGAGCTGAGGAGGTAAATGGAGCAACAGCTTAGATATAAAACTGTTAATAAAATCACCAGTTAATTCAGTTTAATGGAGTCTTAAACGATAGCTTCTACGAATTTAATATAAAGCAGATATTAAGCAGCTATCAATATACCAGAGGTGCATATTTTCAGAAAACATGATTATGATTCAGTTGTGATAAACTCAACGTTTCACCAGTTTCCTCCTTCTCTCCTTTTGTCAAAGTCTAGATTTTTAAAATACGACCACTGGTCTGAAAAGCTCAAAGTGGTTTGGGGTCAAACTGTGTTTCAAGGGAGAGGAGAGGCGATTTATTTTATTCATGTGGTGCCATTTTATACCGTAATCAATTAACTTTTGCCTTCAGTTGTTATGTAAATAGTGTATATAAAAAATAACAGAAGAAATTTAACTTTGCATCTTAGCCATATTTAAAATCGCCCTCCATCTCTTTAAGAAGCTTTTCTGGCAGTTTCACTTCATCACTGCAAATCTTCTCCCTGATGCTGTTTGCAACTGCTCTACAACTACAAAGCATTTTGGCATTTTATGGCAAATCATGTAACTGTCACCTTTAGTTTTAAAAATGCTACACAATATGACTTTAACTGAGCAGAATTGATTATTTAAGTTGGTTTTAAATGCATCAATAAAATAAGACTCTGACTTTGCTTGGACAACGAAGCAGAGAGGGTAGTTCAGTCCTCCGTCACCAGCAATTGGTGTCCATGTCAGGCTGAAGTTTCCTGATCCTGATGAACTCTTGGTTACACCTGGCGGTCCGCTGAACAGGAGCTCAGTGGTCCTTTAAGAAACAGGAAATAAACAGTTTGTTATGTAATGGTTGGACAGTTAATGTTCCAACAGCTTTCTTTTGCTGTTGTTCATTTTCAGGTTCTGAGAAAATTTACTTGAAAAAATTTGCTTGTTACATTTTATGCAAAATTGGATTTGAGTTATTGGTTACATCAGAGTATCTCCAACTCCAGACTGTTTCTCCTGAGAATGTTGAAAAACCTTTATTTCTGTACATTCCTGTATTGATCACTCACTCAGCCTGGGTCGCCTCTGCTCTGATGTTGATTTCCACAGTCTCACTAACGTTGGTGTAGATCTGAGCTCCATGTTCAGGAGTTGGAGGCAGAAACCTGGGCAGATATTCACCTGTTGTGCAGGACGGAGCTGCAGGATCCACTGGAAGAAAATAACAAAGAAACGAATTAATTCAAGCTGAAAGGAGCTGGTCAGTTTGGTCATTAAGTCAAACAAACTTCAGCTGCTGATTGGAAGGAGAGTATTTTATTTGACTAGATATATATTTGGCTCAACATTCGTTAAATTTAGCTTTGTAACATTCCTTTATGTACTTTGGGTGAGAATGGTGATTCTCTGTAGTAGTTATTGAAATTCAAATGTTTACCAACAGATTCCATGTATTCAGCTCAAAATCAGGCTTGTCTTGTTCAGAGCTGCTCTATGTGGTTCAAGTCAAGCTCATCAAACTGCAGCTTTACCTTTAAAAACAAACTGGACAGGAATGCTGCCGATAGCGTCACTGGTAGTTTTCACCGACTGTACACCAGTATAGCCATCAGTCAGATTGATGGTTTGCCTGGGAAAATCCTCCACCATCATCTGAACCGCATACGGACCTTCATCACTGCTGTTAGTGGGACTGAATGACAGAGAACAAGACTGGAAGAGAAGAAAAGGGAGAAGAAATGGTCCAAATTAAAACTGAATCAGATGATTAATCTATAATCTAATGATTATACATCATTAGATTATAGATTAAGTGAAATCTAATTATTGTCACTTTATTATGAATCAGATGCAAAAAAAAACAACAGTTATTCTATGATCATTCAATAAGTAAATAAAAAACATAAAATAGATAATACAAAGAAAATACAAGACAAGTTCAGACTGAACTCTAAATGATGCATCTTTTTCTCTTAACATTAAGGAGCCATTTAGTTCAGTATAAAATGCATAAGTTTAACAGCAGGTCAGTGTTTTAAATGGTTCAGGCAGTCAGATAGTTCTTCTTATGATTGTTCTGTCTGATAGCAGCAGCTTAGAAAGTCACAGGGAATGTGAGAGGAAATGTTTACTGCAACATCTCTCAGCTACTTGACATTGTGTATATATATATATATATATATATATATATATATATATATATAATTTTATTTTTTTAACCAATTTTTTATGTCAACTTTAAAACCACTTTATGTTCAGGAAAAAAACAAAAACAAAACAAAACAAAACAAAACAAAACAGACTAATTATTGTTACTGACTGAAAGCCCAGATTCTTTATTGTCAACATTTGATACTCACTGAAGAGACACTGAGGACAGATGGAGGAGTGCAGGTGTCACACTCTGATCCGGCTGCATATCTGCATCTGACGTCGTCTCCATCTGGGTCAGAGACCAGCAGGTTGATGTTCCTCTGACAGTTTGAAGGAACTCTGAGAGAAAAAGAAACATTTCATAGAACATCACAACCAGACCTCTATCAGTCCCTTCAGGTGTTTTTCATAACTTCAACCTGTCTGACTGGTTCTGCAAGGTTTATTCCCAGCAAGACTTTGTTTTTATTCATCACTGTGTTTCCTCTGGATTTGTTTCAGTTCAGTTTCCTCTAATGAGGAAAACTCTCCAAGGAAGATAGTTTAGCAAATTTATTTTATACTGATTTATGTGATCACTTACTTTAAATAGAATAATGTTCACTTTTAGCAACATTATCAGCTGCATTATTGCATCAAGTAGTTATTTATATCAGCAATCTTGTTTTTAAAATAACAAAAATAGCTGTTTTGTTGTTTTTTAAAACTATGTCTTTGGCTTCATGTAACTCTCTGGTTCAGGATGATTGAATAAAAATGTTTAATAAGTAACAAAATATAATAATTTGCAAATGTAGAAATCAATACAATCTGTTTATACGTGAAAAATTGCAAATGAGAACCAGGATTACCTGAGTACAGGGAGGATGGAGATCCGAGGTGTTGAGTTTGGTTTGTTGATGTCAGAACGGGTTCTGAAGTCGTTGCTTATTATTAATTTCGGTGTTATAATCCCATTTCTGTTTTCAGTCCAGCTTGAAGAACCAACTCTGCAGTGGATGATGAGTTCGTCAATGTTATGAAGAAATAATACAGCAAGACCAAATATCTAAAGACAGACAAGCCAGGATATGTTTCCACCAGCTGATGTTTTAGGTTTTCTTTCTTAGAAAACAACAAAACCTATTTAATCCAAATGACGAATCTGTCTTGAAGGATTTCAGGATTTGGATTAGTCATTGGTTAAAATCTGAACAAAGTGAAATATATTTCCACTTAATGCTGAAGTTTACTTACGAATGTTGGTATGTAAATGTTCTTGGGCCGTAGCTGTAGTAAATACGAACTTCTGTTTTTTGACACCATTCATTCCTGCTTTCATCAACTGCATAAACTGGTGGAGTAGTACAGTTTCCACCACAATGCCAAATGTCGACCTCTTGGCATGAGCTTCCGCTCTCCTTAAAGTGATAGGTTAGCTGTGAAAATAAAGTGAAAAATTGGTAAAAACGTAATTTTTCTGAAAAAACAAAAACAAAAATACATAATATTTTGCAAACCAGCTCAACTCACTACGAAGGGCTGAACGTCTCCAAAGTAGTTGGTAATGACAGCACCATAATAAGCAGCTTGAGCTCCATTGATGAGCAGCAGCAGCAGCACAGACGATAACATGGTGACAGAGTGAAGGTTTCAGAGAAAGGCTGAAAGTTATCAGAGACAAATGAAGTTACACTTCCACAGAGAGCCTCTGGTCCACACCCTGTGATCCATCCGTGAAAGATTTACTGGAATGCACTGGTGCACAACGAGGTAACCTGGAATGAGGAAAAGGTCTGATTGGTGAAAGACTACTGGAAATGCAAAATGCGAATTATAATTTGCAGTAACTGGAAATGTCACAAACCTTTCATTTAGAGGGAGGAGTTTATCTGTGAACAGATTTCCAAACTCAGCCAGCTCCACAAAGTTACATGTTCAGCAGCATCCATTAAAACCAGCATGTTTTATAATACAATGTCTGTGTCTTTAAAAGGAATTGTTAAGAAACATGTTGGAAAAAGATAAACAGAGAGATTTATTAAACACATTTTATCGCATTTCATTTTGATTAAAAAAATTATGACTTTAAAAGTCAAAGAATTCTGCTTAAGAAACCCAGGTTCAGCAGGGCAAGTGAGATGTTTTGTGATGCACAAGTCAGAACGTTTCAGGCTCTCAGGAGAAATTTGACATACCAGTTTATGCATCGTTTGTGCAGCTCATTGAACAATCTTATTATAATGTTTCACATCCCTGTCAGTGCTCAGATACCAGTCGGCTCTGTGGAAACATTGGTATGCAAGTCTTTAATAAGATTTTATCTTTTATTTTGTATGTGCTGTTGTGTGTCGTGTCTTGGTGGACCATTAGAGTCTGTTGAAAAAAACAATCAATCAATCATATATTGTGTCAAAATGTAATTTTGAATAAAAAAATAAATAAAGTTCAGCTTGGTTTCTAATTCCTTATGAACATATTTTAAGCCTAAATAATTTCAGTCATAAAAGACTAAAAATGGTGAAAATATTAAACTTCGGGAAACATTTTCTCTGCTGAACCAAAAAACATTATAATATTTAAACACTAGGCGGAGCTGTTGTACCAACTCGCATCTCAGCAGGTGAAAGAGTTTAAACAGTTTAATCATCTTTAGTAAATCGGAGTTACTTTATCAAGATACCGGATGTGCAGAATACCTTTTTGCTCAGCCATTTTGAAATCAAAAAGTTAATGTGCACACTAAGACACATTGTGGTTCAGATGAGGAAGGATTACACTGGGAGAACTTCTGCTTTGGTTATAATTTTTATTGGTTAAGCAAAGTACAAACTGATGGAGCAGTTTCAAAAACTCAAATAAAATAAAATACCTGTGCTTGCACAGATTCTGT